AGTCAGATGAAGTTCTTTATGACTGGAAAAAAGGCAATGTCACACCAATTTTTAAGAAGGATAGAAAGAATGGGCCAGAGAACTACTAAGCTGTCAGACTAACCTCTGTCCAGGGAAGACATGAATCAGATCTTCTTGAAAGCTACTCTAAGGCACAAGGAAGACAGGGAGGTGACGTGGGATAACCAACATGCCTTCATCAGGATTGGTCCTGCATGACCAATCTTGTCACTTTATGATAGTGTAACTGCATCAATGGACAAGGGAAGAGCCACTGATATCATCTATCTGCACTTCAGTAAGGCCTTTGATGTGGTCCCCCATAACATTCTCTCTCCAAATAGGAAAAATATGGATTTGATGGGTGGACTGTTCAATGAACAAGGAACAGATTGCAAGATTGTACCCAGAGAGTGGTGATCAATGGCCCAATGTCCAAATGGAGATTAGTGACAAGTGATGTCCCTCAAGGTCAGTATCAGTGCTCTTTAACATCATAAATGACATTGATAGTGGGATTGAGTGTGCTCTCAGCAAGTTTGTGGGTGACACCAAGCTGTCTGGTGCAGTCAACACAACCAAGGGACAGGATGCCATTAAGACAGACCTAGACAGGCTGTGAGGTTAAATAAAACCAAGTGCAAGGTCTTGCAACTGGGTCAGACCAATCCTCAGTATCAGTACAAACGAGGGGATACAAGGACAGAGCAGAGTCCTGCCAAAAACAACTTGGGGATACTGGTGGATGGCAGGTGGACATGAATCAGCAATGTACCCCTGCAGTCCAGAAAGCCAACTGTACCCTGGGCTGCATCCAAAGCAGCGTGGCCAGCAGGGCAAGGGAGGTGATCCTGCTCCTCTACTCCGCAAGGTGAGACCTCACCTGGAGCACTGCATCCAGATATGGAGTTCTCAGTACAGAAAAGATGCAGACCTGTTTGAACATGTCCAGAAGAGGGCTGCAAAAAGAATCCTAGGGATGGAACACCTCCCCCCCTACGAGGACGGGCTGAGAGCTGGGGCTGTGCAGCCTGGAAAAGAGAAGGCTCCAGGGAGACCTGAGAGCGGCCTTTCAGTATCTAAAAGGGGGCTATAAGAAGGAAGGGGACAGACACTTCAGCAGAGTCGATTGTGACATGACAAGGGGAAATGGTTTCAAAATAGAAGAGGGGACATTTAGATTGGCTGTAAGAAGATTTTTACACTACTGGCACAAGCTGCCCAGAGAGGTGGTGGATGATCATCCTTGAGAACATCCACAGTCAGGCTGGACAAGGCTCCGAGTCCCTGTTCATTGCAAGGCAATTGGACCGCAATTCCAAGTCAGTGTTTGAGAGAGTATTGACAAAAAAGTCCTCTGGGCCTTAATCCTGATGCTGTTTCCTTACGTCTTTATGGAAAGAATCCTGCAGTAGAATCCCTCATTTCTTGTGAAAGTAAGCATAGAAAATACTCTGTAGAGCTCATGATTGTCAGGAAAGCATCAGCAGAGCAGTTCCAGCATCTGATACGCATCATCTGTGTTAGTGCCAGTCCTGCTGAGCTGCAGGGTAAGTGACACGTGACATCGTGAGTGACAATTTCTGGGTAAAATATTCCTAATCATTTCCAATTGCACATAGCCAACAAAAAAAAAAGTCTGCCAGCAAGTCAGGCTAGCAGGAGGAAGACAAAAAAAAGTTTAAATCTCTCTTACTACCACAGTGCAATACCAAGGTGTTATTTTTTTTCTCTTAATATTGACAAGGTCAGATATAAATCTGTAACTGGAAAAGGAGCTTCCTGATGGGAAAGACATGAGGAAAGTGGCTCTCCTTGTTCACCTCTCCAGCTCTCCCCACACATCTGCATCCTGCTGAAATTTCACACACAAAAACACTCAGAGAGAATAAGATTGAAAGGACACAAAGTGGGCAGGGAGCTATAGATGGTTTTAAAAGTAAACAAGGTACAGAAGACTGGAACCATTCTGAAAAAGAAAACAAAACAGATGGGCTGTTAAAAAGAAAGAATGGACTGGCAGTGATGAGCACAGAATATCACTTACTGCTAATGCAAAATGAAAGCTGAAGTGCAACTACTTAAGGCTTCTTTTAGTCATACTGTCAAAGAAGAAAGGCTTTTAAGGCAGAGCAATCATCATGGCTAGCTTGTTCATCTGCTTTAACCAGGATGTACAAAGCATACACCAGGAGACTTTAAATGTCACTGTAAAATCTTTACTGGAGAAGCGTTTTTAAAAGCACTAAGAAGAAGGAGCTCATTTTTCTAAAGGACGGCAAAAATTAATTCATTCAAGTTGTAATAAACTCTCAAAACCAGAAATATCTTTACACCACTAGAAGACATAATATTGAACATACTTCACTCAGAGGGTGGTGATGCACTGGAACAGGCTGCCCAAGGAGGTTGTGGATGCCCCATCCCTGGAGGCATTCAAGGCCAGGCTGGATGTGGCTCTGGGCAGCCAGGTCTGGTGGTTGGCAACCCTGCACATAGCAGGGGGTTGAAACTAGATGATTATTATGGTCCTTTTCAACTCAGGCCATTCTATGATTCCATGATACCACACATAAACTTGGCCTATTTATGAACCAGATACTTAAAATTCCCCTTTTCTAGCCTTGCATATATTAAATCTTGCATATAAACTCTTCCTTCCCATCATAGAAGAATTAATCGATGACAATTCAGAGGTGTAAGAAGAAAGTGGTTACTCATTGAAGCAGGTGAACATTCACCCCAACCTCCTGGTCTTCTGCTGGGCAGTGACCTAAACCCAATCCAGGCAGAGACACTGAGAAGAATCAGAGTGACTTCAAATGCTGGGAAGGCATAGCTCCTACAGAGGATTTCTTTGCTTCTGTTGTAACATAAAATATTCATGTTAATTCGCTGCACATCAGTGCAGTTGTATACTCCCCTGCTTTCAAACATCCAAATGAAAACTGCCTATTCTCTTGAAACAGTCAGCTTTCTTCTACACATTCATATCTTCACTATTCACCAAATCAAATCTATGACTGACAGTTTTTACCTTTCAGAAATGCCACTCTCTCTGTTTCAGAAAGATATTAGCATATGTACTTTTGATGTGCTACAAAACTAGCTTTTTAGAACTGCTGTAAGTGTGCTAACGATCTAGTAAAAATACATAAAAAGGCTATAAAAGCTGATGAAGAGTTTCAAGTTTATGGGCTGGATCCAGCACGCAAGAACAACTTGCTCATCCTCCAATAGCAGTCTCTGCTTCCACCTTTCCAGGAGTCCCCAGATACATGGGCAGAGGCTGAGAGCTGGATGAAGCAATCTCACAAGCTGATTACTACTGTTTCGGTCCCAAAGGTCCTACAACTCCCCTGCCCCAGCCCATCATACAAGGGTGCATTCTTCTGAAAGCTTTTCAGCTGGGAACTGATTAAATCCAAAGCTGAAGACTATGTGAGACAGCAGCTTCTTAAATATAAGTTTTGACTCAAGTGGTGATAACAGTAATTATCCCACAATTATTTCTGTAAATATAGTCTCTTAATACCCTTTTTGCACCAGACATCAGGCTTGCTGACAGCTCACTGGTGCACTGTCCTCAGCAAAGACATTACCCATTACATCCCCTCGTTGGTATATTTGAAATGACACCACACTGCTAAATTAGTTCATTCTGGTTTTGCAGCAGTGTTCTTTGTTACAAGAAATGACAGTGGTTCGGAAATATCTATTCTTGATTCATCTTCACATCCCCTTTATCTCTCTGCACAGGGTGGGACAATTACGAATGTACTTACTGATTGATGTTACTGTTATTGATGTTACTGTTACAATACATTACTGGGGAAAAGCAGCTTCTGAATAGGAGTCTCTAACTGCATAAGTCCCTTATGAAATACAGTGACGGTTCTGAGTTGAGTGGAGTTTTTTTGTTTGTTTTTAAACACAGGTATTCTGAGTTTGCTTATTAATTAATTCCGATGTATTTACTATAATCTTTTTCCCTCCTCCATTGGAATGGAGGGTAAAAAAAAATAAAGGGAGGAAAAGCAGACTAAGAAAGTATGCCTTACTTGTACTTTCTTTCTAGCTTTGGTATGGCCAGACAGTTCCAGTAAAACCAGTGAGTCTGCACAGGTACAGTCCACATCCTGTAAGCTACCAAAATATTACACAGCCCAAAGGAAACTCACTTGGTGTTAACTGTGAGCATCAAAACCCAAGGATGCTCATAGTATGGCTTGCACTGGCTACTGTTAAGAAGTGAGTTTTAAGATTCACTAATGCCCTGCAAAGGAAAAATATAGCAAACTGAAAAATACATCTTGCCAGGAAAAAAAATTTGAAAAGGAGAAACCTTGAAAAGGGGATGCCTTCAGATCTTGGTTACAAAGACTAAAAAGAAATGCAGAGTTCAACACTGATAGAGCAACATATCTTTTTCCGGCAGTTAAGACCAGATCATATAATACAACCAGTAATAAAAATTTACTTGTTAGATGAAAACGGGCATTAAGTAAAATAAAGGGGAGTCTTCCCCCTCCCTTGTCCTAAAATGTGAAGATGCTCAATCATTTTTGACACATGAATCTTATTCCTTTTCAGCTTCCACTTGACAGATATTATCCAGTTTTAGTATTTGATTAGTTTTGTTGTTTGTTTTTAAAGAATTACCAACTGACTTCGACTTTGCAGCATGTGGAATACAGATTTATTAATTATAAATTTAATATAATTGCTAATACGATTAATTTTATATTTGACTTTTGTGTTCTCATTTTTCCAAGCTTAAAGTAAGGAGAGCTCTAAGCATAAGTACAAAGATAAAACCTAAGCAAACATTGCATTCACCATACAGGTGTCCAAAGATGAAACAAGTTCAAGAACATTAAGAGCCCAGTGGTGAGAAATCTACTGAATTGATTTGGAGGCAGAGAATTCAGCAATAGGCAAAATATCTCAGCGCAAACATAACTAAGTTAGGTTAACATACTTCACAAAATAAAGCTTACCTGACCATTTTTTCCCAGTTCCATTTCAACTAACGCAACTGGAGTATTTATCTGATCAACATGTCTTGACTGCGACTTCAAATCCACTCTCCAGTTCATGCTTTTCAAGACGTAATCCCAGCGGCTTTGATTTACCAGGCTCTCATGGATTCTCACTCGGTGGTTCTTCCAAAATTTGGCAATGACCGCAGCTTGATCTGACGTGATGCCACCTTGCTTTTTTGTTTGGGCAGTGAGAAAAGCTTCCAGCTGATTCAAATCCATGTCAGCTGAAGCAATTGACTGTAGGGAAAACAGGAGAAGAGAAAGGGAAAAGCTTGCTTACAAGTACTCTTTAAAATTCTAAGCTGAAGGTTGTATCTTTAAGGTTTTACAAATGTATTTTTGAAGGATAGCACAGGCAAGTCTCAGTCACGGAAATAACAACTTCCATTAGAACTCACTTTGCAGGCGCCTACACTACTTAACCCAGACTCCTGCCTCAGGACAGCTGGATCTCTTTCAATAAGGAGAAAACCAGGAATTCCTTTGGGTATGAAGCAGAGGGTAGCAAGAACATTTTCACTGCAAGCTCAGCCCTGTTCTTCAGTATGCCCTAGGGATACCAACTGGTCTGTACTGGGTGGCTGGGGCAGACATCTGGTTTGATACTGCTGTCCTGATGGTCTGTTAAACAAGAAAGCACAGGAATGCCTTCGGCCAAGGTTGGGATAAACTGGGAGAAACCCCAGCTCATTACAAGATTCACAATTTTTCCACCAATGTTTCTAAAGCTGATAATTCTATACAGCCTTAAATTTGCACTGCTTAACTGGCAGTAGTTGCTAAATACAGCTCTGAAGAGAAGACAGGACATGAAGGAAGGAAACTGTGGTTAAGTTTTCTCACTGTAATTTCAAGCAGACACTTGTTTCATACTCACACAAAATGGATGTGACTCATCTTTAACAAACATGCTGCCTCCAAGCACGCATGGATACAGAGCACAACAAGGAGATACAAGGCTAAAAATCTTGGGATTTGTATCAATTTAATTTTCCTTGATGCTGTATTCCTGCTGTTGTACTCTCTAGGTTACCAGTAAGGTACATAGCCCCTGGTCTGAAATGCTCCTGGTTTAACACAGGACCACTAAATACCTTACAAGGGATACTTGCAAGATATCTTGCACTGAATTGCAAGGGACCCACAAGGATCACCACGTCCAACCCCTACCTCCAAACTGCACCACCCAAACCCAAAGTCTGAGAGCAGTGTCCCAGTGCTCCAAGTCCTGCTAGCTCATGCCGTGACCATCGCCCTCTGGAGCAGAACCTTTCCCTAACCTCCCCCCAACACAGCTCCATGCTGTTCCCTCCAGGCAGCAGAGCTCAGCGCTGCCCTCCGCTCCCTGTGAGGAGCTGCAGCAGCCATCAGGCCTCCCTTCAGCTCCTCTGCTCTGAGCAATCCCAGGGGCCTCACCACTCTGCACAGACCCTTCCTCATCTCTATAGCACTTTGCAGAATCCAGCACTTGCTATCATTGAACTGCATAAAGTTGGTTGATTGCCCAGCCCTCTAATCGCTCTAGATCTCTCCGCAGGGCTTCCCTCCCCTTGCGGGATTCAACAACTCTTCCCAATTTAGCATCATCAACACAGTTGCTCAAAACCCCTTCTAGTCCTGCATCCAAGTCATTCATAAAAACACTGACGTGGCCCTAAAACAGAGCCCTGCAGAACCCCAGCAGTGAGCAGCCACCAGCCTGATGTAACCCCATTCACTATAACCCATCAGCCAGCTGCTCACTCATCACACAAGTTTTGTCAAGCTGTATGCTGGGCATTTCATCCAGAAGGATACTGTGAGAAACAGCCCAAAAGCTTTGCTGAAATCCAAAGAGATTACGTCAACTGGCTTCCCCAGTCAGTGAGGTGGGTAACCTTCCCATAAAAGGAGATTAAGTTGGCTAAAGAGGACTTTTCCCCTTGTGAAGCCATGCTGGCTGTGACCAGTGACTGCACTGTCCTTCAGGTGTTTTTCAGCAACTCCAAGAATAATTTTCAGCACTTTCCAAGCAAAACATAATATACCCGCACCTTTTAAAGCTGCTGTTCAAAACGAGGCCTAGCATGGAGGCAAGACCTGCACAGTGATGAGCAAAGTGCCAATCTCACTCCCAAAGCCCCCAGTAGCAAGGAGGTGACTGCAGCAGCCAGCCAACAAAGCACAAAGCACACAACCCTCATCATATCAGGACAGTCTGAAACACAACAGCAGATTAAAAACAAGAAGAAGCCCCAAACAAAGAGCTCACACATCACGCAAGTGGCAGAGAACAGCAGCAGGAGGTTTGCTGCTTGGAAGCAACTGAAGCCAACAATAACACCCACTTATCTCCAGCAGATACACCACATCCTTTTTTACTGTGAGTTTATTCAAGAGAAAAGCAAATCAAAAGCAAATCCTCCTCCAAAACACAACACATACCTTGTGATCTGCAACAGAGTTCAGCCTTTTATCACCCAGCATAAGATCTGCCTCCTGAAACTTGGGTACTGTTTAATTTAAGAGGGAAGCTCTGCCTTCCCAAAGTTGCAAGATGGATCAGCTGCCATCTGTTACACAATTAAGAAAATAAACAGCTACCTGTACTTGAAACAACTGGTCTGTTCTATCACAATTCCAGCTTAATCAGAGCGTCTGGCAATTTATTTTAAAATTTGACATGTCTAACATACCATTCTGTGTATTTCAATTCACTGTATCTGCATACCGATTGCTTTTATCATGAAGGTTTTTATCTGGAGGAACATTAAAATCTAATGATCCCATGAGTGAAAAAACCTTTTTTTCTGTTTTAAAAGAACCATTTAGACTCACATAACATTCATGCATATTTTCCTGAAGAGGCCTGCCTATGAACAGCAGTGTGAAATATAAGGGCTGCTCCAAAAGTAATGCTTCCTATGATTTGACACTGGTGATACGGCAGCAGAGGTTGAACCTTCCCACCAATACTACAATTTGGTGCTGTGTGACTGATGGCAGCAGAGGGCCAGTCTGACAGAGCAGCATCTAATAGGAGAGTGCACACGAAGCAAAGGGATGGAACTAAATTCCTCCATGTGCAAACAATGGCACCCAGAGACATTCATCAACACTTGTTGAACATTTACAGAGATGAAAGAGTGGATATGAGCACAGTGTGGTGGTAGGTGGTGCGTTTCAGCAGTGCTGACAATGGGTCACCTCCACTGCTGCAGATTTGTACAGGAGTGGCATGTAGGCTCTCATTTATTGCTTGGGAAAATGCATTGCTGATGGTGGTGACCGTGTTGAAAAACAGTGTTTTGTAGCTGAGAATTTGCTCTATCAAATAGTGTTATCATGCTCTTTGTAGCTGTTTTAGTTTCCATGGAAATAAATAGGAGGCTGTACTTTCAGAGCAACCTACATATTTTGTTATAATATTTTTCATATTACTGTGTGTGCGCGCATAGACTTGTTTGTGTGTTCTGACACCAGCTTTCCTTTATATAAATATTCCATGCAGATTACAGGAGCAAGGGGAGGAATGAGGTGAATAAACAATTCTAAAGCCTAGCACCTTCTGTAAGCCAAGACCAAGATCAGCCTGAGATTCAGTCTCCCCTCAGCTGTGCAGAAAATTCAGCTGTACAAAAAATCCCTTCTGTTTTATTCCTGCACAGAAACCAATACTAGCATGTTCTCTGCACTGAATGAAACAAAGATGTCATGAATTAACGGTGAATCAAATAACCAGGTCATTCTTGTGTGCTTGATTTTACAACTTTCAAATATTTCACATATATAATTTGTGGAACATTTTTCCCCAAGTTTTACCACCTCCACGACAAGTCTTAATAAAACACAGCAAGATTTCTAGCAATATTTTGCTAAGCTGGTAGAAAAGTAACAAACCACACGAAGTTCCTCATTTTGCTTGACAAATTATATAAATCTGACTTCTAAGTGCAGCTAAAAGAGGAAGCTTACAATCAAGCTTGCAGTTTTAAGCATAAAGATGACAGAAAATATAAGTAGGGCTTGTGCAGGACAGTGAAACTTGCCTGTTTAGCAAAGATCATCAAAAGATTGGGAGTCAAGATTCCCTGTGTCTTGCATTTAAAACTTCCATATGTTCATATAGAAAAAGTATACTGCTATATATACACACTTGCTAGCAAAATACTATCACACCAGGCACAGGACGAAGCCACGTGTCACAATTAGCAATCATTTAGATTGTTTTCTCACAGACAGGAGCACACACGTGCAGAAAACAGAGACTGTTTACTATTACAGATGTATAGACACAGCTCCGAAACCATAGCTGTATTGTGATAGAACATATATCAGATAGCATATGCTTCAAACAACACACCAACACAGTCCACTGTTCAGAACAGAATCTCTCTCAGCTTGCAATCAAGACCACTATCTAAAAGGTCATTTTAAAGTAAATGAAAATTATATCAACTGGAAAAGAGTACAAACAATCAATGAGTTATACTTCAGTGTAACCACACAAAGATATGACTGAAGACATTTTCTTTGATATTCCACAACAAAGCCCATCAGCTGTAAAGGTTTTCAAGAAACTGAACGGCAGCAACTCATTTTAATATTCTTCTTCATCCTAACTGGGAAACATTTCATAATGAGACAGGAAACCAGATATAAGCTACGAAGAATGACAGAACAATTAAGCTCTTTGCTGGTCTTCCATCTCTTGCACTGTACAAAGACTTACACAGCTCGTTCTTTAAACAAGCACAGTTGTACTCTGTTGCCGAAATGAATGTTGACAGTTAAGTTTTGTTTTTTTTTTTTTAACTTGAAGAAATGTTTTAATTTAACTTGGCTAAAAATTATAGTTCAGTTAAATTCTGGATAGTATTACAAACAGTTCTTTCCATTATTTTTAACAATGCTCCCTTATTGCATAGTCAGAATATCAAGTTACAGAGAATACACCCTATTGATATTTTTAAGGATTTATTTAAAGTGAAAGCATGAGCCATTCTTCTGTGTTTATAACTAAGGACAGATAACACCCATCTGATTACAGGTCTTCCTCTCATGCTTTTCAGCACTTGGACCTTAGAATCACAGAGGTTGGAAAAGACCACTATGATCACCAAGCCCAACCCCAGCCCATCCCCGTCCTTCAGTGCCACCTCTCCAGGTTATTGAACACCTCCCTGCACAGTGACTCCATCACCTCCCTGGGCAGCTCTGCCACTGCATCACTGCTCTTTTGGAGAGAAATGTTTCCT